CAACATCATCCTAAATGGAAAGACTCTGAAAGCATTCTCCTTGAGAACGGGACCAGACAAAGATGCCCTTTATCACCACACTTATTCAACATTGTGCTGGAGGTCCTAGCCAGAGCAATTAGGCTAGAAAAAGAAATAAAGCGCATCCAAATTGGTAGCGAAGAAGTCAAAGTATCTCAATTTGCAGATGATATGATCTTATACATGGAAAACCCCAAAGAATCCACAAGAAAACTACTGGAACTAATAGAAGATTTCAGCAAAGTATCAGGATAAAGATAAAAAATCAGGTGGATTCCTTTACACCAACAAAGAGAACCTCAGAAATCACCAAATCAATACCATTTATAATAGCCCCCAAGAAGATAAAACACTTAAGAATAAATCTAACCAGAGATGTAAAAGACCTATACAAAAAAAACTACAAGACACTACTGCAAGAAACCAAGAGACCTCAATAAGTGGAAAAACATACCTTGCTCATGGATAGAAGATCAACATTGTGAAAATGTCAATTCTACCCAAAGTGATCTACAGATACAATGCAATCCCGATCCAAATTCCAATGGCATTTTTTAATGAGATAGAGAAACAAATCACCAACTTCATATTGAAAGGGAAGAGGCCCCGAATAAGTAAAGCATTACTCAGGAAGAAGAACAAAGTGGGAGGCCTCACACTACCTGATTTTAGAACCTATTATACCGCCACAGTAGTCAAAACAACCTGCTACTGGTACAACAACAGATACATAGACCAAGGGAAGAGAATTGAGAAGCCAGACATAAATTCATCCACCTATGAGCAGCTGATATTTGACAAAGGCGCAAAGTCTGTTAACTGGGGAAAAGACAGTCTCTTTAACAAATGCTGTTGGCATAACTGGATATCCATCTGCAAAAAACTGAAATGAGATCCATACGTCACACCACGCACAAAAACTAACTCAAAATGGAATAAAGAAATATAATATCAAAAACAATAAAGATCATGGAAGAAAAAATAGGGACAACGCTTGGAGCCCTAATACATGGCATAAACACAATATGAACCATAACTAACAACGCACAAGCACCAGAAGAGGGACTAGATAACTGGGAGCTCCTGAAAATCAAACACATGCTGATCAAAAGACTTCACCAAGAGTCAAAAGAGAGCCTACAGACGAGTGAAAAATTTTTTGGCTATGACAAATCCGATCAGCATCTAATCTCTAAAATCTACAAGATACTGAAAACCTCAACAACAAGACAAAAAACCCAATTAAAAAATGGGCAAAGGATATGAACAGGCACCTCGCCAAAGAAGATATTCAGGCGGCTAACAAACACATGAAGAAATGCTCACGATCATTAGCCATTAGAGAAATGCAGATCAAAACTACAGTGAGATATCATCTCACCCCAACAAGGCTAGCCTTAATCCAAAAAACACAAAATAATAAATGCTCGAAAGGTGTGGAGAGACTGCAACACTTATACACTGTTGGTGGAAATGTAAAATGGTACAACCACTTTGGAAATCGACTTGGCACTTCCTTAAAAAGCTAGAAATAGAGGTACCATACGATCCAGATATCCCACTCCTTGGAATATATCCTAGAGAAATAAGAGCCATCACACAAATAGATATAGGCACACCCATGTTCACTGCAGTACTGTTCACAATGGCAAAAAGATGGAAACAACCTAGGTGTCCATCAGCAGATGAACAGATAAACCAATTATGGTATATCCACACAATGGAATACTATGCAATAATAAAGAACATGATGAAGCTGTGAAACATCTCATAACATGGAGGAATCTGGAGGGCATTATGCTGAGTGAATTTAGTCAGTCACAGAAGGGCAAATATTGTATAAGACCACTATTATAAGAACTCAAGAAAAGGTTTAAACACAGAAGAAAACATTCTTTGATGGTTATGAGGGTGGGGAGGAAGGATGATGGTTACTTGCTGACTAGATAGTAGATAAGAATTATCTTAGGTGAAGGGAAGGACAACACACACTACAGGGGAAGTCGGCATAACTGGACTAAACCAAAGCTAAGAATTTTCCTGAATATAGTCAAACACTTTGAGGGACAGAGTAGCAGGGGTAAGGGTCTGGGGACCATGCTTTCAGAGGACATCTAGGTCAACTGGCATAACAAAGCTTATTAAGAAAATGTTCTGTGTCCTACTTTGGTGAGTAGCGTCTGGGGTCTTAAAAGCTTGCAAGCGGCCATCTAAGATGCATCAATTGGTCCCAACCACCTGGAGGAAAGGAGAATGAAGAACACCAAAGACACAAGGAAAGCAGTAGCCCAAGAGACAGAAAGGGCAACAAAAACCAGAGACTTCATCAGCCTGAGACCAGAAAAACTAGATGGTGCCTGGCTATCCCCAATGACC